TACCTGAGTTTGTGACAACAAAATTTCTTTAAAAACTATATTTTTTGTAAACTCCCCTTTTCCCCCACTTACTCTTCCATCTTTAATTAACACTTTTGTTGCAGCCCGCGAAACACCTTTTGATAAAGCAACATACAATTGTCCGTGACTGAAAACATGTCGTGGAAGATAAATTCCGACATTTGGAATTGTTTGTCCTTGGGATTTATTTATATTGAGTGCAAAGCTTAGTTTGACAGGAAATTGTTTTCTAATAAGCACAAAGGAAGTCCCGCACCTTCAGTGGTTTTGAGCTTAATTCTTGGCAAGAAAGCTCTTTTTCCAGCATTGTGGCCTGTAAGTATTTCAACATCAAGCAAATTCATAAAAAAAAAACCACGACATAACAACCTTGTCCCATTACACAACCCAAATTTAGGGTCTATGTTTCGCAACAACATCAGTGGATCCCCTATTTTTATCTTTAAAATATATGGCGGTAAAGCACCAGGAGCAATCGTGTGCAAGTATTCTTGTTGATATAGATTATGAGTATCATCCTCAACCTCATAAAAAGATAACAAAATATGTTTATCTCCAGGGAATTTATCAATAATCATGTCATTCAACATATGCACATCACAATTTTTTGGAGTAAGTATGGCTCTCTCCACCATATATGAAGCATCCCATCCATGGTTTTCTAATTGGGGGAATGTATGTTGTATAAGCTTTTGTATGGAGCTTTCTCCTTCCCAAGGTATTACAATTTCAGCAGGCATTATGACCATGTCATCCTCTTTAGTAGGTTCATTACCATCTACAATCCTCATTAGAAACTGCGCAAAGTCCTGGTCATGAATTGATCGCATGTTTTGGCGCAAATGTAGGACCTTTGTGGTGGCCCATAATCGAGACCTAACAATACATGCTGAAATCAGTTGTCCTCTATTTCCTTTTTCAATAACTGGTAGCACCTGACGAAAATCTCCGCCCATGATCATTATTTTTCCACCAAATGGAGCATTGTTATTCATGATGTCTTGAAGTGATCGATCCAATGCTTCTACACAATATTTATTTATCATGGGTGCTTCATCCCAGATGATTGCACTGGTTATTCTAATGAGTTTTGCAAGGTCAGAATTCTTTGCTATTTTACAAATAGAATGGGGCTTTATATCAATGGGGATCCCAAATCGAGAGTGTGCAGTTCTACCACCAGGTAATAATGTAGCAGCTATACCATAGGAAGTTGTTGCTAAGACAATTTCATTATTACACCTCAAATTTGCTATTATAGTTCGATAAAGGAAAGTTTTACCTGTCCCTCCAGGACCATCAACAACAAAAATTTGACATTGTTTTTGGTGGATGGCGTTCATAATTATATTGTAAGCACTCATCTGGTCATTATTTAACTTCACAATAGATTGAACGTCTTCGTTTGGAATTTGGACCGATAATTCTTTCTGAATAATTGTTGGCACTCCCCCGACTTCATTTGTTTCCGTTGTCAACATTGGAAGATCGTAGTTTTTTATTAGTTTTCCATGCAGTAGCAAAAGATCCCTCAATTCCCGCAATAACATATTTTCAAAGTTATCCCTCACAACAACATTTGTCATTTGATAATCCTCTACCATGTAGGGATAAAACTCATTAAATAGGCCTCTAACATCAGTTGGTTCACAAAAAATTAATATAGTCACAAACAACCTTCGTAAAGCATATGGCATACGCATATTTGATGCTTCAAGCAAACACTCACAAATACTATTGTCACTCTCTAATAACCCCCAATCCTCAGCTGATTTTTTAAATGTGAAAAAAGATGCACCATTATGTGTAAGATGGTATTCCCAGCTTGTTGGACCTCTTAAATGAGACAAATACCGCAATATGATTAAAATATACGTTACTATAACATATAACAAATACCGCAATATGATTACTAATCTCATATTGTATATTACATAATATGATAATACCTATGTTATACTGACTATGTGAAATAACATATGTATTATTAAGTAATTAATATATCTATATTATAACATTAAGTAATAGGACGATATAATTACTTAATATAAAACTATGAAATATAACGTATTATGATTAAAATAACCTTATATATAGTAACTTAACTTGATAAACATTAAGTTAAGAGCTTATGTTTAAAATCTTGCGGACATATGAAAACAATATGTCTATTTAATCTATCTTATTATAATGATAGGACAAAATATTACTAAAATCTCATATGTTAATATTAACATTAAAAATCTTTTTCTATTTTTGTACATAATCTATCTCAGCCATTGATATCCATTCCACTAATTTTGGAGGATGCAAGATGCATTGCATTCTGACAAAACTTAAAATAAAAGGATAATTTACAATAACTTTTTGACCATAAAAAGGGTCTGCCTCAAGTAAAATAATGAATAATAATCATGTGTATTTGTTCCCTCTAAAAACACCAAATCCCTAAAACCAATATCCCACAACAGACAATAAGAGATTGTCATTATTACTCTACCTATGTTTGACAATTACTTAGAATTTTTCATTATACAAAAGGAACACATTTTTTATAGACAAATGATACCTACAACAGATATGTCATGAGGTTTCACAATGAGCCATTAAGGAAATGTGTCAATACCTTGTATGTATTATTGTCATGCATAATTAAGGCCTCTGCAACGCTGCTTGATGAAAATTTGGTTAGCAACCGTGGAGAGAATATTGTGGAGGAAATAAAAGCATGATTATGATTATGAACATTGACACGCCTGCCGTTGTCAAAATAGCAAATAAAAAAAATCCTCAATCGACGAACTCTGCAACACCAAAATAACAATTAAAAAAACAAAACATTTTCAAGTTCGTATCGCCGTAATCAAAAGAGTATCACCATCAAAACTTGTTTCGCATTGAGGCTGCCGACAATATTTGAATTCCACAACTTGAACACACAGTCACAACAACTATAAACCGCACCACATTTTTTAATGCGCACAACATTAGGTAAACGTAATTGCCTCCACAACATAGAATATAAAGTTGATAAATATGTGTTCTGATATAAGGCGTTAACTCCAAAATAATAAGCAGTTAGTATATTTAAAAGGATTCTGAATGTGTATTGTTCTGATATGTGTTCTGATATGTTTATATGGTGCAAATCTAGGGAACTATTTATGAGTCTAGCGCGACAGCTAGAGGTAATGATGTTCAACACACAACAATACATACTGAACGAAGAAGTTATCATCAGTAAATAATAAGCAAATGCCTTTCTCATAACAATAATAAGACATTCGCCGCAAGGAAGACGAATCAGTAACAAAATATCCTATCATGACATCGTAACCCAAGCAGCATAAACACAACATTTAAAACGTACACGCAAGTAGCAATATAACAACATCAGAACAACACTGTTTAAATCAATTACGCAATTAAACTCAAATGCAAACCGTCGCAAACTAAAACATTAACATCAATAACACAGACTATCACAGTGCTCAGAATCCGACATTAACATAATTTAGTCAAACCACAAATCAAACACATAATTGAAGCAATTAGTAACACAACTATACTTTGTGTTATGGAAAATAATAGAAACAATTCTGTTATAAAAACAGTCTGGGTATTCGCAGCGACCACAATCAACAAAGCAGTAGCAGTGTATTAAAATTTTGTATCAAAACCAATGACACCCTATTGCACGCAATTGAATAACTCCATGTATTTTTCCCAATTTTGTCATGTTACATGAGATAACCTTTAAATAAAAGATAAAGAAAATTAAAGTTAAATTAGAGAAAATTAGAGATGTTACAAACATACCAAATATCAATATCCTCATGTACACAATTTATCTCGACTTCCTTCTCTCTTTTCTCTTTTGTTCTTGATGAATGTTTCCTACAATTAGATTATAAAAAAATTAAAATGTGAGATGGTAGAATTATTGGACAAAATTGAAAAATAAAAAGCTACACCAAAACAATGTATTGCCTTTATATATTGTTATAGAAGATTTTACATGGAAGTTATGTGGGAGTTCGCCAGTTCGGAAGATGATAGTAGGGAGTTATTAGTAGGGAGTTATATGAAAGATAATAGTAATAGTTCAATGGAAATTATTGTATAAGTTATATATTTTAAAATAAGGATAAATTTGGTATAAAAAAAAGCTACACCAAAAATCAAGTATTGCTTTTATATAGAAGATTATAGATTATAGATTATAGATTATTATTTTATGATAAATTTGAAGCTATTTTAATGTGACTTTAAAATATGATTAAAAAATTGTTAAATTATAATTATTTTAATAAGTAAATAAATAAATAAAATAATAGCATTATTAATAATAACTATAAATATTCACATATATCAAAAAAATCTACAAATAATCATCTGATAAATACCCACAAATATAAAATAGATGTTTATCCTATTTATTCAAAAGACTCTATAGCTAAAGATTAATATTGTGCCCATGGATAATCATTCCCATCACTAGTTATTTATTGACTATGAATCAGATTTTTTTATAAAAAAAAATTAAAATGAAAAAATAGCAATAAATATGGTAAAACCTAGAGCTATCTGCGTGTCATAATCTCAATGGTCCATATAATGCCAGGAGCGTATCTAACCGTTCATCCTATTTCACTGTGCAGATAAATACAGAACAGAGGGACCCTCTCTTCCAGACGACAAGTGGGGGCTCTTCTCCATTGTTAGGGTTTGTTGTTTCTTTCAATTATTTTTTATTAACAAAAATCTCTCTTCAATTCTCAATTAGTCTTTTTAATCTTTCGCAGTGCTTCAAACCTACAAACCACAGTCAACGTATCAAAACTTCTGCAAAACACACAGTAGGCCCCAAAATAATTGTTTTTTTTAAATCTTTTCTGAATTTCATAAATTTGAAATCTTTGTAATGTTTCTCTTCTGAGTTTTGATCATCCTTTAATGGGTCTTTCTTGATTTTTAGGATGGAAGTGAATCATAGCGGCGGCGATGGTTTCAGTGAAGAAAAAAATACGCCGGAGAAGACGGAGATACTGACGATGAACCAGTCGGAGTCTTTATCGGAGGCGGCGATGAAAGAAGAGCTCTCTGAAACTAATAACAATCTTGACGAGTCTCGATCAATGGATGTTATTCCGATGCCGAATCCGGTTCCGAAGACAATGACAGTTCCGGCGGCGAAGAAACCGTCGAAGGACCGCCACACAAAGGTGGAGGGACGCGGTCGGAGAATCCGAATGCCGGCGACCTGCGCCGCAAGAATCTTCCAGCTGACGCGGGAGCTTGGTCATAAATCCGACGGAGAAACAATACGATGGTTACTAGAACAATCCGAGCCTGCCATCGTTGAAGCAACCGGCACCGGTACTGTCCCCGCCATCGCTGTTTCCGTCGGCGGGACGATTAAGATTCCAACCTCCTCCGCAGCAAGACCAGACGGTGAAGAGGCCCCAAAGAAACGAAGGAGGAGAGCGTCAAACAGTGAATTTGTTGACTTGAACGAACATGTTTCAATGTGTTCAGGTCTGGCCCCTATAACTCAAACGGCTTACGGCGGCGGTGGCGGTGATAGTGAAAGCGGTGGCAGTGGTGGTATAGTTCCGTTATGGCCTGTGGTGAGTAATGTAGGGTCCAATACAACAGGGCCATTTTTCATGTTCCCAAATTCAATTATGAATCAGCCACAATTTTGGGCTATTCCTGCTGCACCGTTTTTCAATAGACCTATTTCTGATTTTGTTTCTACTCTGCAAATGCAAAATCAAAATCAACCTTCAAATGCTAATGGTTCAGCTTCATCTACTTTGGCTCCTAGTTTGAGTTCAGCTTCTACATCAACTTGTTCTTCTGCAGTTACTTCTTCATCTTCTGCTGGACCCACTCAAATGCTCAGAGATTTTTCTCTGAAAGCTTATGACAAGAAAGAGCTTCAGTTTATGGGTTGTTCTTCTACAAATTTAGAGTCACCTCCCACTTCAAATCCTTCAAATTGAACCTCTATGTTTCTAGAATAATCTGCTTGGACTTCACAAGTTAGAAGTTTAGACAATTTTTTTTTTTAATTTGGAAAAAAGCATGGATAGTTTGTGTCTATCTAAATTTTGTTTTTTATTGTTTTTTGCTAATGTGAAAGGACAATCTTAGCATTTTTTTTTAAGGAAATCCTTGTTTTTGAAAGTTTAATATTTGTTTATTTTATTTTTTATTACATAAAATTTATGTGAACTGAATATAAAACTTAGAAGCATGATTATTTTTTTAAATTCAATGAATAGTATAAATATTTATTTATCATTATTAATTAATGAGATTCTCATTTCTCATTTATTTAAGGCTAAAACAGAAATTGGAAAGCACATGGGGTGGGAATGAAATTTGGATTAACGAGTCAAAGAGGAAAGAGTGGGGTCGAGTTTGCACGTGCGAGGTTGAAACGGTGTGAGGTTGGGTAGCAGTGTGCGTGGCAATGGAAAGTGGGGTCCAGGGAGTGGTCACGTGAGGGGGTTTGAGCACGTGTTATTTATGGGGCCCACAGTTGAATGTGGGTGGGGAAAGTGATGTGGTCCGTGGAACATGGTTAGTGGTTGTTGTTGGGACACGAGATTTGGTCATGTGACTGCTTGATTATGGCACGTGTGGGTATGATTTTTGTGAAGCTCTCGTGTGTGGAATCAGGCTGGCCCTGTTTTACACGTGTCGAGTATGTGTAGGTTTGTGTGTGGGTGGTCCACTCGTGGACCAATAGTTTTCTGACACACTGTGTACTTCTCACGGTGTTTTATCGTGAGTGCTTTGTTTGAAATCAATAAAGTTAAATTGAAAAAACTACTACTACATATTTTAATAATACTGAGAATTTTGATGATATTCTTAAAGTTATCCCTTACTCAAAGCTAACCACATTTATTTGTAACAGGTGATTGAAGATAAGGAAATTTTGCAAATTGGTTAAGGATATCTTATTTTGCACTTAGTAAGAGTAACTTTAATGCAGGGTTGTTAAATCAAAATTCTTTATAGCTTACGTTAGTAATAAGGAATTTGCATTATAGTAGTGCTGACATGGCATATGGGATGCTCTAAAACTAGTTTACGTGCTCTACACAAGCAACGTACTCTAACTCATCATTTAACAAAAATAATACATTTTTATTAATTATTTAAAATAAATAATATATTTTTATTAACCATTTAATACCATGTGGGGTCAAGTTTTGATTTGTTATAGACAACCACCATTAAAGTAAAAACTACTCAAATCAACTATAAATTTTTTAAATCCTACAAATCACTTTGGACCCACAAAAAGTATCTTAGTTTACCCATTTAGTTTACTCCCACTAAAGATGCTCTAAGGTAGAAGAAATAAATAAGACCCTAGATACTATGATGTATGAGATAGAGTCGGTTGATTGTTCGGAGAAACCAGCACTAGAAAGTGTATATTTATGTAATGTATCTATTCTAGGCTGGGTCCCGGGCTGACTACGCGGGCCCAGTCCAATAATGTTCTGGTGAGTCCTATCCAGTCCGAGTACCGCGTCGAGCACGAGGTCTCCGACGAGCCAGAAAGGCCTCGGGCAGGACAACATGTCCTTCACACGTTCTCCACGTGCTCCCTTTCGCGGGGACACGTCACTAACCAACCGCCCACCTCCGAAAGAGCAGGTCAAACCCACTTTCCAGGGATCACGGGACAGTTGAACTAGGGCGAAGACCACGTTCTGGTCTTCACTACGCCACGTAAGCCCTAGCAGTCACATGGGTTGGGCCTGACAATCTAGCTCAACACAAGTGACCGTTGGCCCAGCGCTGGGGTCTCTCTATAAATATCTTCTTCCACAAGAAAGGCAGGTAATTCACTTTTCAAACTCTTTGTCTTTTTTTTGTTTCATGGTCATAAATGACAATTAAGGTAATGTATATATATATATATATATATATATATATATATATATATATATATATATATATATATATATATATATATATATATATATATATATATATATATATATATATATATATATATATATATATATATATATATATATATATATATATGGCTGTGCAAAATAACCAATAACCATAAATCAAATTAATTCAAATTTTTAAATCCAGTTCAAATTTATATTTTAAATTTGCTGGCCTATTTATCAAATTATAAAAAAAAATCGGTAACCATTTGTTTGAAACCGGATTGAGATTCGGTAACCATTTTTCGATAAGCTTCAAAAACAAAAGTAGAATAGTTTGGGAAAATCAAGATCAACACCCCTAATTTGCAATAAAATTGATTTGGTTTAAAGTAGAATAAGTTTAAGGTAGATAGTTTGCAATAAGTTTAAAGTAGAATAAGTTTCACGATTAATTGATTTATATCAATTCAACGTACTTCTCGATTAATTGATTTAATTCACGATGAAAAGGAATTAGTCTAATTCCAGTTTTACATTGAGTAGTTTAAAATTTAAGATATATGGGGTGTTGATTTAATTCAATGTAAAACTGGAATAAAATTGATTAATTGATTAATATTAATTATTTGATAGTTTGCAATAAGTTTAAAGTAGAATAAGTTTCAGGTGGTTTATCAATTATTTGATAGTTTGCAATAAAATTGATTTTTAAAAAAAATTGGTTTTAAAACTGATTTCTTTAAAGAAAATAAAAAACTGGTTTTGAGAGAAACCGGTTTAAAACTGGTTTTAAAAAAAATTGTTTTTTTTAAAACCGGTTTGAAACCGAACCAATCCACTTGTAAACCAATTTTAAAAAAATAAACCGGTTTTGTATAAATGGTTTTAAGATCCAAGCCAAACCATATATGTGGTTTGATTTGGTTTGGTTTGGTTTGATTTATAATCCATGCACACCCCTAGCAACAAGTGGAATACGCATGCGTATGGTGGAAATCGATTAGGGTAGATTAGACTAGCTTAGTCTAATCTATAATTTATTATAGTTTTTCTTAAGCCGGCCTGAACTTTTTAAAATTTTAATTTAAAATTATAATTTTTTTTTCAAAAATACTATATAAGTTTTTTAAATTATTTCAAAATAATAAGTTAATCTAATAAGTTTTTTTTTAACACTTTAGTTCTTTAAGTTAACTAACGTTTGTATCTTTATTTTTTTAAGATTTTCCGTTGATGAAGTGGCAGTTAACGTTGATGAATTGTCATAGAGGGTTGCTGATGTGGAATCTCTCTCATTCTTTCTTAGTTTTCTGAAAATGAAATCCCTAAATCTCAAATCACAAATGACATACTTTGAATCCTAAATCTCATTACTCTATCAATGGCGTCGTATGACAACAGTGGACAAAATCGAAGATGTTTGAACGCTAATACATTACATTCATATCGAGTGCATCCCAAGTTGGAATCGAACCTACATGTTCGTGTGGAGTCAAAGCAGTGTTGAGAACAGTTAAGAAGAAAGGAAGAAACTTTGCAAAGCTATTTTGGGGATGCATATACTTTGTGGTACGTCTGTTATTAGACATTGTTGGTTGTGGATTTGGTTTTTGCATATGTAATTAATTTTTGTGTGTTAATGTTAACAGAGTGGAGATGAAAATATTGGTTGTAAGTTTTTTGCGTGGTATGAAAACCATTACAGTGATGAAGTCAAACAAGAGGCACAACCCTCACTAGCTTTGAAATGTTCTGACTGTGATGGCAAGGATGTTGAAATCAAGTTACTTAGAAGTTTGATTGAAAAGGATGAGAAATACACTAAGGAGATCAAGGAGAACTTGTTGAAGATGTTGAATATGCTAGGCTATGTAACTATGTTGTTGGTTTTGATCTTTGCAGTGTTATGTGTAATTTGGTTTAAAAGTGGAAATCATTGTTAATTATCATTGTTAGTTTTGATGTTGGTAGTTTTATGTTTGTAAGTTATGAGTTGTGGTTTTATGTTTGTAAGTCTTGACAATGGTTTGGTTAATGAAACGATTATGTGTTGCAATTCTACAACTATATACCACGATTATAGTATAATTTGTAGAAAGATATGTTTCACCATGTAGACCAATCAAAATGAGTCTTAAGAATCTGTTTTACAAGTCTGCAATTCCTTACCACATCTGTCACAGTTCTGGTATATCTTGTACAACAGAAAAATTGGAAGGACTTCTTTGTTACATTTTAAAAACATATGGAACTCAAGTGTTACCAATTAAAAACATGATGGGCGTGATTGTTACCAATTTTAAAAATGAAGTACCTGTTTGTTACATTTAAAAAAATATCAGACATATTATTTTACACAATTGTGAACCTCAAACAAATTTGAATATCAAACATTTTTTAAACTCAAAGCATTACATTACATTACCAAACATTACATGAGATGTGAATAGATTTCCAAACATGACATTAACTAATCATAATCAAAGCATTGTTATAATGTTAAAAACCAAAATAGATGTCAATGGATCAGATCCCAAAACATTACATGAGATTATTATGGACCGAACAGATCCCAAAATATTACAGAAGATTGTTTTATAAGTCAACAGAATATAACATTGTTATAGGTAAAAAGACAATCTATTTGGTCTTTCCCCTAATAGCCAACTTTGGTCTCATTATTGTTGGTGGCTGAAATATTGTTGTACCAACATGTCTTCCTCTTCTCATAGCAAGCAACCGTGACACTGAGATAGACTGTCGTATCTGGATTCTAGAAGATGATGTTGACAATCTAGTTTGAACTCTGTGGGTTGGTTGAGATTGGATAGTTGGAACTTGATGGGTTGTTTGGGATTGTCTAGTTTGAACTCTTGGGGTTGGTTGAGATTGGACAGTTGAAACTGGAGTGGTTGTTTGGGATTGTCTAGTTTGAACTCTTGGGGTTGTTTGGGACTGTGCAGTTTGAACTCCTTGGGTTGGTTGGGATTGGACAGTTAGGATTGAAGTGGTTGTTTGAGATTGGACACTTTGAGATTGGTCAATTTGGACATTAGTTGCAGTTTGGGCCTGTT